ACGCCTATATGCTGTGTCAGTTATCAGTATAGACTATATAAGATTAGTTTATACTTTGTAACTCCTTTACAATAGACGCCCCAATATAATACCCCCTATTAAAATACCCTACCGCTTATTATACCCTGCTCTTCACAAAATACCTATGGTATGAATCAATTTTTAAATTGAAAAAATTGATTTATACCTAGAGTATCTTATGCAGTGCTCTACGGTAATCAATAATCCATCAATTGTTCATCTAATTTTTAGCTGATTTGTATTCATTTCGACTAGTGCATGGTAATTCATTTAAGTATGAAAACTTAATAAATCATAATAGAGGTAATATACAAGTAGATTACACAAATATTATGAGAAATTAAATAAAAGAATAATTTTATTAAATATAAAAGAAAGGTTTTTATTAAATATTATAATTAATTACACAATTATTATTACTAATTCTTTGCATTATATTCCTTCTAAATTATTTACTTTTTGATCGCCTGTTTTAATAATCCCAACTGTTCTATTTATACATTTTGAATTGATCTAAATTACAGATATATTAAATAATTATTACATAAGGATTACCTTTAACTATTTAATCATTATATAATTATTACTATATATTTCATTATATAATTACTATATTATAACTATGTAAGAATTACTAATTCCTTAACTATGATTTAATATCTTTTCATAATTACTATATTTACTTCTAATTTTTAGATGTAGTATATTATATCACATAATATCAATTTTATTGATTAACATTTTTAAATTATAATTATATTTTTATTATGAGATTACTTGCTACAATTTTTTTAATAATAAATATTTAATAATGCTTTTTGTAATATGTTTCTAGTCATGTGATTTGTTGTGCCTCATTTTCACTTGGGTAATAATATCTTCAGAGCTTTCTGCTTTGAATTTAAATAGTCATAATTAAAGATGATGCAGCAATTAATTTTAAATTTACAACTTGTTACAATATAAGCTAAAATTAGTTACAATATGAGAGGTGGTCAGTAGAAAAGGGGAAAATCCAAATTTTAGGCAAAATTTATATTATTGAACCACTTGATTGATCTTAATTATATGAACAAATTTAGTTTAATAATAAAAATTAACAAAAATTTTGGATTTTCTCCTTTTTTACTGACTACCTTCCATATATGTTGCAATAGTATAAGTTGTAACATATATATGTTAAAACTAATTGTAATGTATGTTACAACATTAAAAATTATAATATATTAATTACAGTTCTCATCTTTAGTCACAATCGAAACAAAGTGATTTTTATTCTAAATTTAACTTTTTAGATATTCTTTTACCCTTTTCTTTTGCTAAACTTATTATTTTTTCAATTGATCTCTTCTCTTTTTTATAGGGTCAACTAGTGTTTTAAACTTCATTCTCTTGTTAATTAAATCCTCTAATACAGTAGAATATAAATCTTTCTTTTCTAATTGATTATCATGTTTTACACACCAAGCATAGATGTTATGCTTATTAAATAAAAAACTAATTAGATTCCCATTTTTTTACAGTGTTAACCTTATTTGAACTTAATATTATTTTTTCCAGAAAGAGGTTATAGGCCATAATAAGGCTGGGATAAGATATATTTAAAATAACTTAATGTAGTTTAATAGATATTAACTAAATCTACAAAACTACGTTAAGATTTCTCTAATTGGATATCTAAATTAAAAGTTATTAATCTTCTAACATCGGGTATTTTTTTTTGTAAAAAAGAATTTGAAATATATAATTTAGCTAAAATTAGTCAAAAGTTCATAATATGAAGATACATTATTACATATTTTACATCTATTTATGCAATTCATATATACTGCATATGCCTTTTAAATTGACATGAAAAGAACTGCAAAAAACAGTTCATTTTTAAATTATATATGCAAAAATCAACAAATTTACAATAGATTAACAGGCTTGCAGTCTGAATATTTTCTTAAAAAATATAAATCATATCGAACTGTTCCAGACTTTATTTTTGAAAATATTGGATGAATTAAAAATAAATAAAACTTATCGATTACGTAACGTTAGCGTTAGTTTTAGAATCAATATTTTATGGTCACATGACTTGATTTTAAGAATAAAAATTAACATATTAAAAAGTCAACAACTTTATGTAATTAAAATCTAATAAGATGTGTTTATTATTTAATAAATTGAATATTTAATGTGTAATAATAATTCATACGAAATAACTTACTAAATTTAATGGAATAATTAATTAATTAATAGCTCTGTTTATTTCCAAAGCCTATTTTACTTTTCACAATAACTTGCAAAAATACGAGAATAAGGTAAAATAACGTATATATTTTTTTATATAATAATAATAATAATAATAATAATAATAAATAATAATAATAATAATATTTTGTTAAATTTTGTGAAATATGTTATTTATATTATGGTCACGTATTAAGTGTAAAAAACATGCATGTAAAGGTAAGGGAATTTACGGAGTTAAGTTGACTAATAATAACATTTAATATTTTCGATATTAAGTGAAGTTAGACATTATGATAGTAATGAAAATTCTGACATTAGTTAATAAAAAAAAATCATTATGAATTATTACGATTAAATTGATTTTCTTTATGCAGTGGTTTCTTTCTCTTCTTTAGTTTCTACAATATCTGATGTCGTCGTTGGCTCTTGGGTTTCAGATACTGACGCAGCAACAGCATCAATTTCTTCTTGAAGATTAGTTTCACTCTTGGTAACTTCGAGTCTTGTGGAAACTTCTTCGGTTTTTTGGCTGGATGTTGGTTGTTCCTTTTCAGTAGGTGCAGATACAAGAGTAACACCGACCTCTTTAAGCGATTGGATCCATGAATCACGTTCTTCTTCAGTGTCAGCACCTATCTTGAATGTTCTTGTTTTTGTCTCAAGGTCAAACAAGTAAGGAGATTTACCTTCATGTGCTTTAACTAAAGATAATTTGACTTTACTATCAGAAAGATCAATCGATTTTGTAGCTGAAAAATCTGTCTCAGATCGATTGTAGACTAATTTTTTATCTTTAGTGAGTTCAAAGTAACGAATTTCGAGATTTTTACGAAATTGAGTTTGTTTATGAAGGTTTCCTTTTTTTAATATATTTTGAACTGATTCGTTCTCTTCAATTTTTGCTTTTTTATCAACATTTTCGACATCAGTTGCTTCCAAAGCTGATGCAACAGCGGCTGAATCTGTTGATTCAACTTTTTCATGTGTAGCTTCTTGTGGCAAAGAATTTTGTCGTTTACCGAGACCACTACTTATTCTACAAATCCAAAATAGAAAAAAACATGAATATTAAATATGTATTTTTTAAAAAAATTAATTAAAATAAATGGTATTAACCTCTTCAAATTTTCGAATATCGAAGTCTTTTCTTTCTTTTTCTCATCATCTTTTTTAACCTTATCTTCTGTAGATTCGTTAGAGCTTTCTGGTATTGTTTGTTCGGGAGCTTTTTCGACCTTTTCGGTGGATTTTGCTTCGGAAGTTTCAGCTTCCTTTTTTTCTTCGTTTTCCTCTGATGCTTCATTTACGACTTCTCGATGAGATGAATCAGTCTTATGTGATTTATTTCTTCTCCAGATTTGGGTGACTCTGCGAACAACACCACCTCCAGAAGAATCGGACGAAGATGATGATGTTGACGATGAATCGTCTGCTTCTTTCTTTTCTTTCTCGTGTTCTTTTTCTTTCTTCTTCTTTTCTTTCTTTGATTTTTCCTTCTTTTCCTTTTTATCTTCCTTTTTTTCATCATCCTTTTCTTCCTTATTCTCTGATTTCTTTGGTTCTACTTGTTCATCAGATTTACTTTCAACTTTATCTTCTGATGTTTCGGTTTTTTCTTCAGAAACATGTTTGCTTTTAGCACCAAATGGTAATTTGACACCTAATATGGTTCTTGAATGATCATCTTGTTTATCTGTGGGAGTTTCTGCGGATTTCTCTTCCGTTTCCGTTTTTCCTTCGCCTTTTGCTTCAATGGTAGTATCCTCAGCAGAAGCTTCATTAACAACTAAAAGTTTATAATATAATTTGTTGTATAAGTAAACGACACGTTAAACAGACTTTAATTTATAACTTTTGGGCATTTTTTTTAAAAAAATCATCACCTTCAGTAGTTTCACCTTTAGTTTCATGAGGAGTTTCGTCCTTTGCCTTTCCTTTGAATAAATTCTTAAAGATACCGTCCTTGTGCTCTTTATGTCGAATTTCATGTGCTTCCTCTTCGGCAGGAGTCTCAGCATGATCAGCTTTGGTTTGTTCAGTATTCGTTTCTTCGGTTTCTGTAATCTCCTCTTTTTGAGTCTCTTTTCCGGCAACTTTCTTGAAAAGGTTGAGATTTTCAATCCACCCTTTCTTATGTTTCTCTTCGTGTTTTTCGTCTTTATTTTCTTCAGTAACTTCTACACCATTCGCAGTTATAACAGCAGCACTGGCTTCGGCATTGGTAGCTTCCTCAGTAGCTTTTTCTTTAACAACTACTTCTTTAATTATTTCTGAAGTTGTTGTTTCTTCTTTAGTATCATGACCTTTTTCAACTTTCTTACTAAAGGAAATATTGAAAGGGAATCTACTAGGTTTATGAGGAGATTTAGGAGAACCTTCTTCGGTTTTGATATCTTCGGTTTTTAAAACTTCTTCGGTAGTTATAATCTCACTTGTTTCAGTGATAACTTCTTTAGTACCATCTTCATTAATGGTTTCAGATGTGGTTACTAAGGTTGTAGCATCGGATGTCGAAGCCTTTCTTCCACCAAAGAACAATTGTGTAAAAACAGATCTACGTCTATTGGGATCAACATTTTTGACATTACGTTTTGGAGGATCAGTATTTTCTTCATCACCGGAAAACATTTCAGTATCCGACATAATATTGTCAGACTTGTGATTAATAAATGCGTTTCCTCCTTCTATTTTAATTCCAAAAAAAAAAAAATCAAGTTTAATCAAAATTATCAAATTTCACGCTTTAAAGAAAATGTGTCTCAAAAACGTGATTATGAAGCAAAAATATGAATCTTGACCCATATGCAGGCCCACTTGCCGATCTTATTATAAAACAATTGTTTATTTATACAGTGATTGACAAGTGAGTCAAGATTAATGTACGTGATGGGTCAATATTCATATATTTGCGATTATGAATTGGTTGACAAATAAGTTTGTTATTGAATGGATAGTAAAATAAACTAACTTACCAAGTTTACTATAAGTAGCTTTATATTCTTCAGAACTTTCAACATCGATTTTGTCCGCTTCCTCAATTTTTTCCTTGATAGTTTTAATCCAACGATCTCGTTCAACATTTGATTCAGCAGCAAGTTCGAAAAGACGATAATTTGTTTCAACTTTGAAGACAAATGGTTTACCAGCGCAATCATCAATTGGATAGACTTTATCGACACCATCGACTTCTTTCAAGTTAATTATACCAAGTGGCTGTTTCTTATTACGGGCATCACTATCTGATTTATAGTAGAATAATAATCCATTACCAGTTTTTGTAGCATGGGCAATGTTTTTATAATAACTGTTTGATACATTGGTTTCGGCATGTTTGGCTTCCTCCTCAACAATAGTTGTGGAGATAGGTTGCTCCTTGATTTCCGGTTTTTTGTCTTCAGGTTCTTTTGTTTCATCTACCTTTTCAGCATCAGTTGAAGCAGCTACGACAGGTTCTTCAGGTTTGGAAACTTCAGTAGTTTCAGCAACGGGAACTTCTGTTTTGGGGGGTTCAGCGGTTTCCACAACTGACTCTTCAGCCTTTGTAGTCTCGGTAGCTTCTGCGACAGGTTCTTCGGCTTTGGTAGGTTCAATGGTTTCCAAAGCAGGTTCTTCGACTTTAGAAATAATTTTTTCAACGACCTCAGTTTCAGCGGGAGCAGTTTCTGAGGGAACTGGAGGGTTTTCAGTAGTTGTAGTAGTAGTAGTTGCATTAACCATGCCAGGAGCTTTTGTTGTCGTATGTACCAAACCCTTTTTTACGTTTTTCTTATGATAAAGACGAAGGTTATCCAAAGAAATAGGATCAGTTCCAACAGTGAAATAAGATTTACTCCATATTTTCATAATTGTTTTGGGAGTTCGTTTTTGTAAGTATCCTTCAGTAATAGTCGAAGGCAACTCTTCTTTCTTTTCATTGGTTTCAGGCACAGCGGTAATTTCAACCTCAGGAGTTACCTCCTCAGACTTTGGCTCAGCCTTAACATCAGATTTCTTTTCAAGCTCAATGGGAATGGGCTCTTCTTTGGGTGCAGGAGTTATTTCGGTCATTATCGAATGATAATTCGCGACAAGATATTTTTAAAAAAGTGGTATGAATTCTCCTTTATAATTATTATTATTACTAGGTGAGGTGTTTTTTTTTTCCCTTTTTATTATTTTTTATTACGGGAAAAAAAAATTTTTTTTTTTTTTTTAAAAAAAAGTAATTATATTAAAAGTATATAGTTTAAAAAATAAGAAAATTAATGCCTACTTTTTTGGCAAGAAAAAAAAAATTAGGCTGAGTTTTTATTATGTTTTTGGCTGAGTAAGGAAGAGAATGGGGGGGAGTGATAAGAATAGAAAGTTGTGGAAAAAAAAAGAGTTGAAAAACTCCAACGAGGTTATTAACAGGAGATGACCAAAATAACCAACTAAATAAAGGGGTTAAAAGGTCATTAGGGTCATACGACTTTTTTTTTTAAAAAAAAAGGTTGTTGTACGTTTAATAATTAACTCTTTTTTTGATATACACAACATCACATTACATGAAAAGGCAACTTTGTGCCCAAAAAAGATAATTTAAAAAATAACAACTTTTTTGATTGTTTGGCTTTTTGTTCACAATACTTGTGGCATTTACCACATGATAACATTGAAACCTAAACATGCCAATTGGAGAAAAGACGAATAGACCCTTACGCGGCACGATTATATTGGTGATATCATTTTTTCATTTCATTCCAGACAAGTAAATTTTGTGCTTTGATGTGGTGAAAAGGGAAGCACCTGATTTTTATCTCGTTCGAACCAAACGGGCAACTTTCCGTCCGCAGGGTGTAACGATTGAAAATGTTCGTAAAATTACCAAAACAAGTGTATTTCTGAAGAATTGACAAATATTAAAAGGAAATTAAGAATCAAAACGTAAAACAAGATATACAAATTGTGCTTCTTTTTAGTAACTTGATGTTCATAGACACGACATGAAAAGATCGGAAGTTGAGTTATTTAACTTTGTAAAAAAATTTTAACCCTAAAAAATAATTCATAATTTAATTGACACAACATTTTGTCATGTACCATAATGATTTACATGTAATGTAAATCATTTTAAAAGCATTATTATGATCAAATTTACACATGTCGAACATTATGACTCAGATTTTAATTTGATTAACGAGTCTAATGTTGAGCTTAATGAAGTTAATTAAACATTTGAACACAATTGTGGAAGATCGCGTAAGAAAATAAATAAAATAAATTTTTGTTGTTCTTAGTGAATTTAACATTAACACGATTGATATTGCAGAATGCCAATTTTGGAAATAGATTCCTTGTTATTTCCTTTTATTGACAAGATCTTATCCAATCAACATATTTCCCTCCATTTTTTCTCATTAAATATCATTCTTGTTATCGACATGAATTCTTTGGCGTATAAAAAATATTCGTACTATCTATTATGGGGGACCTTTTGATATTTTTGATTACATGCATACGCATGTATAATACTAAATCGAATAAAAAAAAAGCACATGATAATGTTCTCGAGTAAATTACTTTTATATAATGGTTTTACGAAAATTTGAAAAAAAGCACAAAAGGGACCAACCCGTGTATTTTCTTCCATGTACAAATGCATCCAATTTTTTATTTTTATTTTTATTTTTGATAAAACCTTTTTTTTTTTTTTTTCGAGAGAACAAATTAAATCGTTTATGCATGGAGATTTTTATATAAAACTCTATTTTATTTAATTAAAAATTTATATTTTCTTAACCAAATCAGAAAGATAATGGAAATGATTTGATTGTGTATACATTTATTTATACACAAACTTCTTTAAAAAATTTTCGTTTTTTGGGTACCATTTTAATCAAAGTATTAAAAAAAACCACATGGTAATATAATTCATAAAATTGTTATACATATTGTCTTCGGTTAAGTACGAATATATTTTTTAGGTTGCGCCTTTTTACCCTTTGTTTTAATTGACTTCCATATGGCCATAATCAGAAAAGAATTACAATCATTCAGCCATCCTTTTTTGATCTAATATATATTAATTTTTTTTTTTACAATTTCCCCACATCAGTCAAAAAAAAACCTGTCCACAGATCTAGTTTTTTTCAATGCAATCATGTTAGTTATATTAAAATATATTTTGTGTTCAAAAAATAATCTCAAAAAATTTATCCCCAATTATAGATTCATTTTATTAATTACTATTAGGGTGTGATGTTAAACTTCACATGATGCCAAATCATGATATCATTTGATTGGGATTTTTCCCACGTACAGGCTTACCTAATTTTATTTTAAATATGAGGTGATCTTTAAAGTTAATTTTTTTGAAGTGTTCACGTGATATATCATTCCTTCGAAAAGGGAAACGCGTTATATTTAAAATATGGAACATGGAACTGTCCCAACTAAATAATTGACATCAAAAATAAATTAAAATCGTTTTGTGGTCCGATATAATCGATCAATCCAGATATTTGGATTGTTGTCGTTAATCACCAAATAAAACAGAAAATCAATAAATCAATAAAACTCAATTCCTCTCATAAATGGGGGGGGGATTCTTGGAAAAGGGACCAACTTGCAAAAAAAAAAGCCTTTTAAAATTACATCCATGACATTTAGGATAAAATTTTAATTTAGTCCCTTTTTCCTGCACTCACCCCTCAAATACCAAAATGATTCTTTTTAGGATTCATATATATATATATTATATATTAATTTACTAAAATAAAAAAAATTGATTGTGTTTTTTTTTTCTTTCTGTCATATTAAGCGAGAATTTTCATATGCAATTTGCACAATTGATTTTCGATGATTGAACAATTTCAAGTATAGTATGGTATCTTATTTGTTGTCTCAACATCAATAATCGATCTTGGTCTAAAAATGTAAAATTATATGTTTGAGTCAAAGGATACCTAAAATTATAAATATTTATCTATAACTTTTATTTTCTAACTCCCATTTTATTATGTCAAGATATCGGGCCAATTTATTTTCCGATTTATTAGATTAGATTAATATCATAATTATTGCAACAATGTAAAATAATTGATTTCGTAATTAAAGAATACTTGATATTACAATCGTGTCATCTATTTTAAAATTTAAAGACTTGTTCTTGAGTATATCCGAGTTTTTTTAATATGCCACCAACAAGTCCTTGAGACATATTAGATGCCTTTTCACCACTAACTTTACGCATCATCCTATAAATAAAATAAACATAATTAAATAAATATATATATATATACATATATAGATTCAAAAGTAAAGTATGATTATACCCGCTGGGTCCACAAACTAATACGAGAACATCCTCATTTGGAGCAGGAATATTCTCTTTTACCATTTCCTCACTTACATAACCAACACCTTGCGTCCAAAACTCATCTTTTGGTGGTTTATCAAGTGTATAGTAAATTTTTAATTGCTTTGGATGATTTTTTGATAATTCTTTAAAGTCATTATAAAGGAGTATATCTTCTTTTGTTATATTCGCGTAAATTAAATATATTTTTGTTCTATCATCTGGATTTTGAAGTATATAATTGATTAACTGATACCTATGAGTAAAAAGGATGTTATCTAAAGTGTAAGAAATAATAATAAAAAGATTCAAAATATTTTACATTGGAGTTATTCCGGTTCCACCACAAATCTACAAAAAAAATTAAATAATAAAAAAAAAATTTTCAAAATAAAAAAAAATCAAATAAAAATTATTTTTTTTCCAAACCATTCCAATGTGTTTCTTCATATTAGGTGCATACGGTAAAGTAACAATGGGTCCTCTGGCTTCAAATTTATCCCCAATTTTTAAATTATGAATTAATCTAGACATATGTCCATTATCATATCGTTTTATTAATAAATCAAGAAAATTTAATTCATTGATAGGACTAATTGGTGTATATTCCCTCATTATTTGTGTAGAATCATCTTTAACGTGGATACAAGACGCAATTGGTATTGGTTCTTTTAACGCACTTGGAAATTTTAAACGAAATACGCGAGTATTATGATTTACTGGTGTTATTTCACTCACTATTAATGGAATAAATTTTTTTGGTGAAAATGTTTTATTTGAATTTTCAGAGTAACTTTTGTATATCGTGTATCCAATTCCTCCAAATATCCCCGTTATAATAACGTTTTTTATAGATAATAAACTTCTTCTTTTGCCAGTAATGTCAATTGCAAGTCTTTGAAAAAGAGTTCTTATCATTTAGATGATGAAAAATATTTTAAAATTATATTATACATTTCGTCGAAAAATTTAATTCCCCTTCAGGGAAATTCTTGTCACGTACGTGATGAATTAGCAGATTATCTAACTTAGACTTTTACATGGAAAAAGGCATGTCGTTCGCCACAGCAAGAGAATTTACGCGTAATAGTAAAGATCTTTTGGCTCGATTCCTTTAAAAGTTTCTTTTATATACTATTTATTCGAGTAGAAGGTACGATATACAATATCAGTACCTTGATACGAGATATCATTAGTTTGAAGATTATAAATTCCATTTTAATGACAATCATACCGAAATTTAATTTTGAGTATGCATTCTCAAGACGAAAACGATAACACTTGAATTCAGATAAAATGCGTGACCAATGATAGATTTTAAGATCGTTAAGCATTCAAATGATCTAAATTCGTTATATTCAACTTAATAATATGGATGTGATCATAAGATATTTGTGTTAGAATGATAAAATCAACAGAATCCCTTGTTGATGAATTAATGAATGATCTCAAATAATTGCAAAGTTATTAAAATGGATTCACATTCTTTCTTAAGATTTATATAATAATTAACTATAATATAATTACATTTCAAAGTAAATAAAGCAATAAATAAGTTTTCTGAATTTCTTAACATAATTATTCCGGTTTTTCTTCAGATGGTTGTTGTTCTTCTTGTTGTTGTTGGCCTTCGCTGGCTGTCATACGATGCCAAACATATTCTTGAGCTATTATTTGAACAGCTAATTTTATCGTAGAAACCATTTTTGCTTCCACCCATTCATTTTCTTCATATGGAATATCTATCCAACTTGCAGGCAATGCTTGGGAAATAGTCTTAAAGTTTAGATTATGAGTTGGATCAGTAAGAACAATAACGTAATATAGATAATTTTCGGAGTCCATTGTGATCTCATTATTTGTTGGTAAAGAGTAAGGGTTTGCTTTTGTGGGTTGAATTGCCATGAAAACGGGACAAGTTGTGGTTGGTATATCTCTTAACAACTCTCGTTGATCCATCTTTTCGCTTATTGAGGGAGGTGGTTTATAATGTTTCTTGATACTTTGTTCAATATTAGCCTAAAAACAATATATATATATATATATTAGCTATTATTAACATTCAAAAGAGACTAGAATAATAGAAATCCTTTTTCACCTTTGCAATTCCTACAGCTTCAATAAAACCTTCACAAATATTTAAATCTCGACATGAGTCATCTTCTGAATCGCTCTTTATTGATTCATTTGCTTTTCGCACTTTTATATCTCCACCCTCAACTTGTTCCATTACTTTCATAAACGACCTATATACAAGGGATTCTATTCCCACATAACCTACCATATCATGTGTTAACCATACTTCTACTATTTCATATTGTGAAATTGGGGGAACTACAGCATTAACAACAGTTGTAAGGGTATTTAAACCTAAAGTTCTTAGGTCATATCCTTTTTAAATGTTGATGTTAGATTGATTATAAATCTCTAGTTATACAAGAAATTAAGCATTTAACCTACCTATTTTTCCAATTGCTTCCTTATTTAGTATTCCACGAAATTTTTCTTCAATTTTCTTAGTTCCTTCATTTGTACGTACTGTTTCAACTGTAGCTAATGCTCCTTTAACAGAGGTATCAACGACAGTACTTGCAGTCTTGTAAGCTGTAGAAGCCGATGCTATTAAACCTCCCCATGACCAAGTCCCACTTTGCTTTATTTCTTGATTCCCATCTGATATTTCTGATGGTTGTGATGATGATTTAGGCTGTTCTACCGAATTTTCTTGACTTATTGAAACATTACTTTGACTATCTCCCTTTGAACTATTATTCTGATTTTTTGAAAACTGGTCAATAAAATCAAGAACTGACTGGGTATCAGTAACTTGACTTTCTGTTGTTGGATTAGAAGCATCCGCGGTTTGAGAGTATGTATCTAATGTCTCGAGAAACTGAAGTACATCTTCTCCGGCATTTGATGATGTCGGTTTAGGCTCCGTCATTTTATCAAAACTCTGTCCTTAAAAATGAGTAATTATTTTTAAAGGCGGGCACAAAAAAAGTTTTCCTAGATTATAATTGGCTATATATCAAAATTACACATGACATTTGAATACAAAATTAAATATCACCTGACAAATTATAGAAATCGTGATTATGTTTACAAATTAATATTTTAAGATAAAATTAATTTATTAAAATAACTTTCATATCATAATATCATGTAAAAACTTATTTATTTATAGTTTTGATTATATAAAATCTAATAAAAAAATTTATAATCAAATTTAAAACATAAACAACTAAAAAAAAATTTAATAAATTTGAAAATATTGGCTTTTTAAAAAAAAAAAACAATTAACAAACCAATCCATTATATATTTTTTAATAACCATTTCTTATACTACTAATTAATTTTTAATAAATCTTACTCTTGTAAAAGAACTTTTAATTTCCTCAAATTTTTTGGATTACTTTCTTTGGCTCTAAAATAATATTCAAGATCGTTTTATGAGATTAAGGTTAGGACTTTATTGTGACCGCAGAAAACAAGTTATTGCTATTTTTTGATTCATCATCAATTAATGAAATTTACTTAATAGATAAAATTCATTATGAAATTCATCATTTTTTGATGAAATTCACTTTCATAAATGAAATTTGTCATAAAATTTATTATTAATTAATGAAATTTTATCTTTAAATAATAAAAATCTTTGAAATAATGAATTTGTCTCAAATTAATAAAATTTCACTTTTGAAATAAAATTCGTATTTAAATTAGTAAAATTTCACTTTTAAAATGAAATTCATTTTAAAATTGGTGAAATTTTGCTTTCAAAATGAAATTCATTTTTGAATAGGTAAAATTTCACTTTCAAAATAAAATTTGTCTTCAAATTGACGAGTTTTACTTTTGAATATAAAATTCATCAATTGATAATGAAATATAAAATTCATAATAAATTGTTAATGTATTTATTATCAAATTAATGATAAATTTGTAATGTATTGAATTATTAACAAAAATCATTACAAATTGAATCATTAAACAAAATGATAATGTAACAAATTATTAACGAAATTTTTAACGAAATAAATTGTTAATGAAATTCATTATGAATTAAATTATTAAACAAATTTGTAATAAATTGATTAATTAATTTTGTTATGATTTGTTAAATGATATTTATAACAATTTGTTAACAAAATTCATAACATAATAAATCATTTACAAAATTTGTAAATAAAGTCATAATGAAATAAATAGTTAAGCAAATTTATAATATAATAAATTGTTTACAAAATCTGTAATATATCAGTTGATAAATTTTATAATAAAATGAATCATTTATAAAATTCATAATGTAATCAATCATTAATAAAATTCGTAATAAAATGTTAAATAAATTTTACATAATAAATTATTTAAACAAATTATTATACAGAATTTATTTATAAAAACTAAAAAAAATTGTTAAATAGAATTCATATAATAAAATTCATAATGAATTATAATATTAAACTGTTAATAAATTTCATTACAGATTGTTAACAAACCTTATTAATGAAACTTGTTAGCAAATTGTTACTAATCAGTAAATTCAGTGGGATATCACATATGATATAATTAATATCCTACTTATCCTAGATTATAGTATCATATATGATCTAAATATCACATATATTCTAAATATCACATATAATCTAAATATCGCATATGATCTGAATTCCACATATAATCTAAATAATATAATTTAAATATTGCATATAATCTACCATTTTTACTTTTTTCTTATATCCCTTTTATTTTCTATCTATGTCTTTATGTCTTCTTGATAATCTAATTACCATATACATATATAATTTAAATATCATGATCTTCTTCTTATTTTCATATCGTTTACATGCTAAATTTTACATCAATAAATTTAATAAAGTGAAGTATTATATAATCCCTACGCCTTGTAATATTAGGTAAGGTTACGAGGCCATCAAAAAATTTATATATGCGTAATACTTAAAAGCTTTATGACACATAAGGCTTTGAATATTTTTATGTTGCATAGTATTGCGACAGTTTTGCAATGTGTAGTATTGTGACAGTTTTACAATGCGTAATATTATGACATTTTTACGATAAGTAATACTTCAAAGGTTTTACAATACATAATACTTCGAATGTTTATATTTCGTTAATAAGTTTATGAATTTTTTATTATTTATATTCTGATCACTGGTAATTGCTTTTGAAAATTTTGGTAACTCATCGTTTTATTGCACAATACTTTATTTAATTATTATATTACTTTAAGTAAATTTGTTCCTTCATATTAATTAGTTTCATTGATATTTTGTTATAGTATTTTTTAAAAAAAAAAAATAAAAACCCCAAAAAATCAGCAAAAAAAAAATAAAAAAAATAACCAAACAAACAAAAAAACTGGTATAAATATATCACATTTTTGAAATGTCAAGATAGATTTAGTAAAATAAGTCAGAAATACATAAACTTATGCAACATTAAATAAAATAAATAATTATAATAATTAAATATATCTTACATTATTTAATTATTCTTCATTGTCTTTGTCATCATTGTATTCATCGAAACTATCATTATCACGTATATTAACAATATCATTTTGTCATAATATGATTGAAGATGTAAGAGTTTTTAGAGGTGATGGATGAGTTGGTTGAGGTGTTGCTTTCAGAATCATTATTAACAAGTTTCCTCTAAACAAAAAAATTTTAATATATTTAGCCTATTCGCAAGTAATATTTTTAAATTTAAAATTTAGCATATTTGTAAAATTATGAAAACTTACCAATATTTTTTTCATTTGCAATTTTACAACAGTTTCAGAAATTTGTATGTGTTCAATTTTTGGATTTAAAAGGATATTGCAAATGGTGGTAATATAAGTTGTTTAAAGGTGTGTTTTCTTCTTAGATTCCATACTTTATTTAAAATACGAGTTAGGTGGGTAGTTTGTTCATTCTCCTTTATCAGAGCAAATAATTTAACCTGGTATTCTTTTAATTTTTTGGATTTTTTCCAACTTTAAATTTCTGCTAGACTTGCATTTGTATTAATTGGTGTTAGCTGGACCTCACCAAATACTGAAAACATTGCATTCTTAATTTGAGATGTTAAGATACTATGAATTACGCAATTCTGAATTACTAATAAAAAAAACATTCTGATTTACATGCTGATTGTAAAATACAGCGTTGTTAAAAAGAAATTCAAAAATGGAAATAAAGTAAATAGAAACTATGATTTATAGATCCTCAGATAAATGGTATATTTTTATTATCCAACTAACGTTAGCGTAATTAACTAAGTGTATGATTAATCATACATTAATCATGCAATCTTCTATTTCGCAAGAGATCTTAGAAAAAATGGAAAATTTTGAGACATAGCTAAAGATGGGAACTGTAATTAATATGTTGCTACTTTTAATGTTGCAACTTACGTTGCAATTAGTTTTAACCTATATATGTTGCAACTTATAATGTTGCAACATATGTT